ATATTTTTTTTTTTTTTTAATGTGTGTACCATCAAATTGGATCTGACTGGTACAGGAGGCAATTGTTCCTCCTTCTTCAGCAGAGCATCTGGTGGATTTGAACCCCGCACCTCTGGGATTGCAATGCAGTTTCCTGCCACTAGGCCACCAGAGCTTGCCACAGGGCTTTATAGTTTGCCAAGTTCTTCAGAGCAGCCTGAACTTCCTCTTTCATCAACATTGCCTCTTTATCATATGTTGGTTTTTTTGAAATTCTTCTTTGTCAGTCAATTCTTTTTGGTACAGTGTCTCTGTATACTCCTTCCATTTTCTTTTACTACTTCCTGGGTCATTCAATATTCTGTCCATAGCATAATTCTTAAACATTGCAACTTGAGGCTTGAATTTGTTCTTTATTTCATTCAGCTTAAGAAATGCCAAGGCGAGCTCTGGTGGCCTAGTGGCAAGAAGCTGCACTGCAATCCCAGAGATATGCGGTTCAAATCCACCAGATGCTTTGCCGGAGAAAGAGGCGCAATCTCCTGTACAAGTCAGATCCGATTTGACGGTACACACCCACACACACACACACACACACACTTAAAAAAATTAAAAAACAAAAAAAAAGAAATGCCAAGCGAGTTCAGTCCTTCTGATTTTCTAACTTAAGTCATTTGCACATTTCATTATAATACTTTGCTTTGTCTTCCCAAGCTGCCCTTTGAAATCTTCTATTTAGCTCCTAACGTCTTGATTTCTTCCCTTTGCTTTGGCTTCTTGATGCTTTAGTGCAATCAATATTCAGTCTCTTCTGACATCCATCTTGGTCTTTTCTTAAAGGAGAATAGCAGCAAAAACCCCCAGAAGACTAGTACTTATTGGAAAAGCAAGTCTTCATTCACACCACTAACAGTGCAAGTTACAGGTGATATCCTAAAGGTCAGGAAGAAAAAGGAAACCCGAGAAGGGCATGAACAGCTAAGGTAAAATGGTAACTATTCCATTACTGTGAAATCAGGATTCACAATGATAATCCTGAGCTCTCAAGAAAAGGATAAATTCTATACAGTGTAACTAGTTTACAAAACCATGGAACTATATATATTTTTGGAGGATTGGATAAAAAAATTAAAAGTATTTAAATATTTAATAATGTAAAAAATGTAAGCATTTTAGTTATTGGAAGATTCACCTACATGAAACACTTCATTGTCTAACATAAGAGTGAACCAAGAATTCTTTAGTTCTCTTACTAAATTTTCATCTTTCCTATTAGGTTTCAAGAAGACGAGTCCTTTCTGTTCTAGTGTTCTAAAGATCCAGATTTATTTTATGGTTTGATAGATTTTATCACAAATCTTCCAACTCCTTCTCATATCCCACTGTGTACTACTTTAAAGCATCTCACACATCCCACATTCTCTGGATTGTCTCTCTTTTGATAAATTCCATGTTTCATGAAATGCATCTAATCGGAAAAAATGTACTGAAACCCAAGGGTATTTTGGCTTGGTATAGGGTACATAATCCATGTTTTTTTTTAGGATACTTTTTTAGAATTTTGGAGTAAAACACTGGGGTAGGATCTTGAGGGTAGCTGACAGTGGTGTCTGAATTTATTCTAATATCGAGCTGGAAATAATATTCCAGAATATAATTTCTTAAAATTGTAAATATTGTTATTTTCCCCTCAGATGCAACTGTTGTTATGGGTAGTATCCTCTTAAGAATATTCACGGGCTTGGAAAGCTGACGGGGGTTGTCGTGAGTCTGAACAAACTCAATGACAATGGGCCTCTGGGTTTATTTATGGTATTATAGGAATATACCTCATTGTGTTTATTTAATCACTTGCTGATGAACATTTGTTTCTACTTTTGAGTTATTATGAATATTTCTATATAGGTCTTTTGGCCAAGCATTTCCTCCCCTTATTTTTAAAGCTAAATACTTTAATGTAGAATTGCTACATCATAAACTAAGTATGTGATATATAAGTAACTTTAAAAAGCTGTCAACTTTGTTTTCGGAAGTGTCTGTACCACTTCTTTTTCCCACTGGCAATGTATGAGAGTTATATTTGCTACACATCTCAAAAGCTTTTTAAAAGTAATAAAACTGTCAGTTTATGTATGCATTCAGAAACATCACTGATGAATTAATACGTGACCAGGACAGTAAGTTCTGCTGGCCTAGGAGTAAGGAGCTGTGCTGTCAACCCATGACACATGGTTTGAATCCACCAGCTGCTCGACGGGAGAAGGATGGGCAATCTCCTCCCATGTGATTTACTATCTCAGTACATAACAGTACACACACTGCATGCCGTGCAATGTGTTTATCCACATTTTGGTTATTCTTTCCTCTGTATGGCCCTCAGGTGATTAAAAACTTTAAATGAAACTTAACCCACTTCTGCAGAGGCCACTGCAATTCCCAGCAGCCGTGAAGGCCAGAGCAGACCTGCACCATTGGCTGCCAAGGCTGAAAGCATCATGGAAGCAGACTGCCCCATCTTTTCCTGCAGAGCTGCTGCTGGGTTCAAACCACCAGCCTCGGTTACCAGCCTCGGGTTTATTCACTGTGACAGAGGGTTCCTTCCATCTAAAACATCCAACTCTAACCCCACACTGCCTAGCTCCCAACAGTTTATATGCACTCATTTGTTTTTGATATTGCCACCTCTTTCTTGAATGGAGTAAAATGTACTGGTTTATATTCTCCAGCTATGTCTTGGGAGGTATCCTTTAAATAGGGTTTCAGCTTTTCTAATCTTTAGCAAATTCCTGGGGTTTTTTACTAATGTATACTTATTGTGACATTTTCTTTCTTTTGTTGTGTAGGAAGAAATAAACCAAACCCAAATCCACGCAAGCTGAGTTGATTCTAAGCCAGGGTGACGTTCCTTCAGGCTTTGAAGGCTGCAATCTTTATGAGGGGAGACTGCCCATCTTTCCCCTGCAGGGCGGCCAGTCAGTGGGGTTGAATCACAAATTTTTCTGCTAGCAGTCCAACATGAAACACACCACAACATTAAAGCCAAGTCTTTTGGAGGCAGTAAGAAGGCCTACATTTTTCTGTATGCATGTACCAAAAATTTTTAACATCTCTTTAATGCATACTTTTTGAAGTTCTTTCTACCACAATATCATTTACTGAAAACAAAACAAAACAAAGACAAAGCTCTCCACATCCATGTTTAAGCAAGTTTCTCCTTTTGGGATCTTATGTTCTATTTGCTTATGATCTGTTTCTTCAAGATAAAACTATAGAAAACGGAGTAATTTTGAATGCACAGATGATTTCCTGAGATTTCCTGTGTAAAACTGAGTAGCACTTCTGTTTTTATGGAAAGAGAACATCATCATAGAAGCACAAATGAGAGTTTTTTTCTGTTGTTGTTATGTATGGGATTTCTTTTTTTAAATTGAGATTTTAATGAAAGATTATAGAGAACTTGGATTTCCATTCATTCATTGTTGCACATTTTCCTCCCTGCCCACCCTTCTCCACTCTAGTTCACTTTCCTCTTTGAAAAGAAAAAGAATACTTTCACTGTCATACAATCCCCCTCCCGCCCAGTTCACTTTACTATGCAGCTCTTATTCTGGATTCCTGTCATGCCAATAATATCTAATCATATATCCCTTTTAAACAGTTCTCTCATCTGTTTCAATGCACTGTACATTATTTATTCCAAAGCATCAATGAGTTTTATATGGACACATAGAACACAAATCTAAGTAATGCAAACACACTTACTTTAAAAAATTCCTTTTTCTCAACCATCTCATCGCCACACAGAACACAAACCTAAGTAATGCAAACACACTTACTTTAAAAAATTCCTTTTTCTCAACCATCTCATCGCCGTCTGAGTCCAGCATTTTAAAAGCAACATGAAAACCAGTGTGGGGCTCTGCAATGAAGTGAAAAATGAATCACAATTGAAAGCCTGGTGAAATGTAAATTGTTGTTGTTGCTATGTGCCGTTGAGTCGCTTGCGACTCATAGTGACCCTATGTACAACAGCCCTAAACCAAGCTCTATCCTGTGCCAATCGCACTGCCTCTGACACACCCATCTCTAGTACCCCAGTCACTGAATCAATCCACCTCATAGAGGGTCTTCCCCTCTTGTGCTGTCTCTCCAGCCTCCCAAGCATGATGTCCCCCTCCATCGACCTGTTCCTCCTTACAACATGTCCAAAATATGTCAGACGAAGCCCCAGAATCCTTGCCTCCAAGAAGCAGCCCAGTTGAACCCTCTCCAGAATGAATCTGTTTGTTTTCTTGACAGTCCATGGTACATTCAATACTCTTCTCAAGCACCACAGCTCAAAGGCATTAATTCTCCTTCTATCCTTCTTGGTCATTGTCCAACTCTCTGATGCATAACAAGTGATTGCAAAGACCATAGCCTGTATCAGACACACCTTAGTCTCCAGAGTGACACCATTGCTCTTTAGTACTTTGGAGGGGTCCCTAACAGCCGACTTTCCCATCATAATATGTTTTTTTATTTCCTGGCTACTGGTGCCAAGAGTGTTGACTGTGGAGCCAAGCAGACAAAGTTGTTAATAACCTCAATCTCTTCACCATCCATCCTGATGCTGCCAATTGGTCCAGTGGTGAGAATCTTTGTCTTCTTGACATTGAGCCTCAATCCATACTGAAGGCCACACTTCATGTCCTCCTCAGTTTCAGCAAGCAGGGTTGTGTCATCTGCATAATGTAGACTGTTAATAGATCTTCCACCAATTCTTATGCCACACTTCTCCTCATAGAGTCCAGGTTCTCAGATAATCTGTTCTGCAGACAGGTTGAAAAGGTATGGAGATAAGACATATCCCTGGTATACACCTTTCCCAATTTTGAGCCATGCAGTGTTTCCTTGCTCTGTTCTGACGACTGCCTCTTGGTCCAAGTAAATTAGCTGTAATTATTTGAAATGTGAAACAAGCCTACCCATTACTCAAGAGCCTAAACAGAGAGACGAAAAAAGGGGGGGGAAGGTCACTTCTCCTGTATAACAAAGGCTGATTATTTCCTGCTTCAGGCTTTGGTCCTGGCTTTTCTATGGGGTGCTGCTGCTGATCTGCTATGAAACAAGCATAATTAATCTCACAATACAATTTTGGTGATTTTATTAGGTCTACCAGGAATTTCCCTATATTCTTTTAGAAGCTTCTCATATTGATTATTACTCCCTTCTTTCCTTTCTCAGTAGAGATTTTTTGGTTTTTAAACTTTTTATTTGGAGTGACATTAGGCTTTCAGAAATGGTAGAAGGATAGTGCAGGGAATCTTCTTACACTCTTCACTCAGCTTCTCCTAATGTGGTCCTTCCATGACCACAGCACTTTGATTTTGTTCCTTAACACCAGTGAGGCACTATTAACTAAACTATATCTGCACCTCCCCAACTTCGCCAAAGATGCTCTATTCTAGGGTCAAATACAAGACATCATGTTGCATTTACTTCTTGTTGACTGATGATGGTTTCTTCTGTTTTTCATGACCCTGGCACTTTTAAAGTACTGATCAGGAATTCTTCAGAACGTCCAGGGTAAGTTTTTACTATTTCTAAAAAAAGGCTAACTACAATTTTCTGGTTTAACAGCCTTCTCTAATAAGGAGACAAAGTTATGAAGCGCCATGGTATGAAGGAGGTAGAAAATATCCAATGTGACAACATAATCCAACACCGTTGAGTCACCGGTGTAGAAACTAAGGTATCAATAATATGTTTTAATGATAAAGACATAAATGCTAAATGTGCCAAAAATCTGTTGGTAAAATAAAACCAGAAACAAACCCAAACTGAACAACATAACATGTGAACTCTACATGATCATTAAGAAAAACTGTGGAATACTTACTAGTGAGGATTGTAAGCAAGAAAAGATACTCAGTATATGAAATCAGCCCTGGAAGAGAAAAAAAAAATACCCGAAAATAACTCTTAGATTTAATGGCTTTAAATGAATTATATAAATTATTAACATTGCAACTACACCTAATAAAGGACGACACACATTTTTTGGGGGGAGGGGAAATACTCTTGACACTGTGGTAATTTCTGTAATAGTTGAGATGTAAATATAGTAATAATATAGTAAATAAATACATATTATTACACAGTGCTTACACTTTAAAACATTATTATTAATTTCAATGAAAATTTTCAGAGACACTGGAAAAGTAAAAGAAAAATTCTTTCATTGTTTTACAATCTTTGCTCTGGTCTCCTGTCATGACAAAAATACCTAATCACATATCCCTTTTAAATAGTTTTCTCCCTCATCTGTTTCAATGCAGTATATATTATTGAACCCATCTTTCTCAGCCTCCCTCCAACCCCGAGGTCAGTCCTGTTTTGCAACAGTGGCACCATGCAGTATTTGTCCTTTTGTGACTGAGATATTTCACTCAACATAATATCCTCCAGGGTCACCCATTTTGAATAATATTGCATGAGTTCCTTGTTTTTTCAATGTGCTGTAGTATTCCACTGCGAGAATATGCCACAGCGTCTCTATCCAGTCATTTGGTGATGGGCACTTAGTTGTTTCCAACTCCTTGCTA